TAAATTATGATAATTTACATTTATTTGTAAATGTAAATTTTGCAACAAAATAATTTACATTTATAATAAATATAAATTACTTATCATGTAATTTACGCGTAAATTAAATGAAACGTAAATGTAAATTGACACCCCTAGTGTGTGTGGATGTGAGTGTGGGTGGGTGTAGGTGTCGGTGTAGGTGTAGGTGTAGGTGTAGGTGTGAGTGTGGATGTCGACGTCGGTGTGGGTGTCGGTGTGGCTGAGTGGGGTGTGGATGGATCTAGGTGGCTCAGCGCACAGGTCTTCTTTACATATACACCCACACCTACATCCTTTGTGATTTTGTTGTTGACTACCCATAGAACTTCCAGGTAGTATTTTGGCAGTAAAAATATTGCAAAAATCGAGTACGAAAATGGTTGTATTTCAGTCTTGATGATGCATTCCACCTGTAGTTTTATTTAGAGAGCTGAAATGTTCAGAAATAGAGGATCTTGATGAGATATATATGTCATAAAAATGTCAGCCCACAGCGTCAAGGAAAAGTATGTAAAATGTCGTTCACAATTTATCGCCAGTTATTATGAAACACCCTTTATAATCATATAATTCAAAAGACCTCCTAGACTATCGAATCTATGAAGACGGAAGGATATAATCTATGGACTCTATATATATAATGTTCAGTGTCTGTCTGTCTGCCTGTCTGTTTCTCTGTGCCGCGTCAAAGCTCAAAGATCAAAGGTCAAACAAGACTAAGGGAGAGATCTCCAGGGGCTATTTTATGGGGCACTTATACATCCTCAAGGGGTATCCTATGGAGATGCCGGGGATGGCGTAGTGGTTCTATGCGTCTGATTATAGGCAGAGATCAGAAGGCTCGAACCCTTCCTCCGGCATCGTGTATTCGGTGTCATGATACATGGTATCGGAAGAATAAACAAAAGAAAAAGCAACTATGCACGCTACATCGCCATCATTGGCTCGATTTCGATTTTCATTCTTTTCGTTTTCATTTCTTTGCATTCTTTCTCTGTTTGCTATCATTATCTTGTCCGTTGCATACATTCGTAAGCGTCCACAAAAATTGTAAAAAATCCCCCAAAAAAAGAATTATGGATGCCACGAATAAAATTTAGCATAATTAAAAAAAATCCTATGGAGGTACCTATAGGTCCCCAAGGGCTATCCTATGGGGGTACCTATAGGTCCTCCAGGGCTGTTCTACGGGCGTACCCATAGGTCCGCAAGAGCTATCCTAAGAGAGTACCTATAGGTCCTCCAGGGCTATTCTATGAGGGTATCAATAGGTCCTCAAGGGTTATCCTATGGGGGTACCCATAAGTTCTGAAGGACTATTCTATGAGGATATTCATAGGTCCTCAAGGGCTATTCTATAGGGGTACCTATAGGTGCCCAAGGGCTATTCTATCGGCGTGCCCATAGGTCCCCAATGGCTATCCTATGAGGGTACCTATAGATCCCCAAGGGCTATGCTAGCAGGGTATCCATAGGTCTCCAAGGCCTAGTATATGGAGGTACCCATCGGTCCCAAGCGCTTTCCTAGTGGGGTACTGATAGGCCATCAAGGGCTATCATATTGTGATACCCATAGGCCCTGAAGGGAGTAAGGCAATAGGAAGATAAGGATGCAAGGAATATAGGGGTATAAGGCCGAAGGCTACAGGGACTATAAAAATATATGCGATATGAGAGTATGAGGTCGTAGGGCTATCTATGTATATACATAATATCGAGTGTCAGTATGTATTTTACCGGATGAAAAGTTAAATGTCTGAGGTGTGGGGTGTAGGTGTGCGTCTGGGTGTGTGGATGTGGGATGTGGATGTGGGGTGTGGGTGTGTGGTGTGGGTGTGCAGGTGTGGGTGTGCGGGTGTGCGTGTGGGTGTGAAAAGAAAACTCACACTCACACCCCATACCCACACCCACACCCACACCCACACCCACATCCACACCCATACCCGCACCCACACCCAGCCACACCCAAGGTCTGGATCTAGGTGTTAGTAATTGATGCGGGCTTGTGTGTGGGGGGAGGGGGGATTGTATGTGTGTGGGTGCGCTAACCTATTTCTCTGCACCTACTCTGATTAATCTGATTTAATTTTAGTTATGAACCAAAAAAGTGCTCAATAGATATCGACCATCTAGTTGTGTCAACCTGTTACCGAAGGAAACAAGAATTTGGAAAAACACGTTTAAACCCTACAATCGCGAACCGCGATTGTGATCGACTCACGCTCAAAAAAAAGAACGCCATTTTTTGCGTGTTTCGCGTTTTTTCGCGCCTAATTTTCACTTTTTGGCCGTAAAAACGGCGAAAACTCCAGTTTTTAAGTGTTATAACATATATTTACTTCTGGAATTTTCTGAAACTTAAAAACCAACGTTTTAGCGCTCAAAAACTGAGATTTTCGCCGTTGTCACGGTCGAAAAGTGAAAATTAGGTGCAAAAAAACGCGAAAAACGGCATTCATTTTTTGAGTGTGAGTGGATCACTATCGCGGTTCCCGATTGTAGAGTTTCAACGCGTTTTTCCAAATTCTTGTCTGTTTAGGTAGTCTTGAAGCGTGTGTGTGGGTGTTGTTAAATATGTTAGTACACCCACATGCACACTCAATGAGGTTTTTGTAGGAAGTTTTTTTTTATCATTTTCATTTATGGCTGTTTTGTTAGGAAGTTCTCGCAGGTATTATAAACGATTCTTGGGTGCATTAAGTTTTCATCATTTGAATTTCATTGTTTCAAAGACTTTATGAAACCTTTAATGGGACTTATATTCAGATCACGCCATCCCCTATGTCTCCCATTTCAGTTATTAAATGTAAAGGTTATTGATGAAGAGCACTGAACATCAAAATAATCAACTTAAGAGTATGGCAATCCCCCCCGCAC